GAATGTTTTAAAAACCCAGTAAAACTTTGCCCGACCCGGGAATCGAACCCGAGACGCCTTACCCGTAATAATGTTTTCAAACATAAATAATATCAAAGAGGGAAGAGAGAGTAACAAACAGTTCTTATATATAACAAAAACATAACCCTGATAAGAGTTATCAGCAGCGTTTGAACTAGTTTCACAGTGTTGTAACAAAGAGGTCAGAGACTGACATAATTACAGACACTTCTTTATCTTAACCATCCTTTATAAATATGAGGACAGCAGTACTTGATTTAAGTACATTGTTATCTGTCTTACTGACTTGATAGTTGGTCGCAAGCTTGCCTATCGGGCAAGGGGTTTCAAGTTAGTTAATACAGGCATATTGCTAAATTGTATATTGTTTAACTTAGATAACCATTGTGAATGTGAGAGCCCTGTAATTAACTTAATATTAAATTAGACTAGTAGAATGCATTTGTGTCAGCTTGGAGTTGTCATGCTCAGTCAAAGGTCTCATTGGCGGTGGCGCGTGCAGTGGATCGCTCGCTCGATTCCCTACAATATGGTTTAGTTGGGCGGTGCTGGTGTATGTACGTGTCATGTTCGTGAATGGGCGCCGTCAACTGGGACTGGTCAGTTCCAGACTGTATTATTTATTGTCTTTAAGGTTATTTTCGTTTTCGATCACTTTGACTAGATTTTATTGTTACATTGTTCTCGCACAATCCAAACAGCAAAACTATGTAACTAGAGAATTGTATTGTGAACCTGATTGAACAAGAGTAACCTATGGAGTTTCTTGCTCGTTCTTCTCCATAGGAATCTACACCTTATAATGAGCAAATAGCTTCACTTTTAATTTTATTGTTGACGTTCAAAAGTGCCTTTCTGGTTTAATTGAAATAAAAGATTTTGACTTTGACTTTGACTTAGTTACCAAGTCATATGATTGTGATATTTTGTGATATTTTCTACGTCAAATAGTAAGCTTATTTTTTTAATTGTCTAGCGTCGCATGTAAGGCTTATAATACATGGAATTCATTCATAAGATATGTGGCAGAAAGTGTAACATAGAATTTTATCCTGTATGCAGACAGTGACAACTAGACTAGAAACAACAACTTGTAGATCACACAAAGAGTTGCTCCGTGCGGGAATCGAACCCGCTACACTTCGCGCGACAGCTCTGACGGATGCGACTGCACGGATCGCGCGTCGCCCAGCTACAGCGCTATCCGTGCAATCTCGTCAGTCGTATTATCACCATTATCATTACACTTCTTCATAGACATAGGGACAGCTGTATTCAATTAAAACATTATCATACTATAAATTGTCTCATTAACCTTTGTAATTTGGATTATTTCCGATTTGTTATCGATGTTCTTTAAATTCACTAAGACAATTGGACAAAGGTCCATATTCATTGACTTTATAAGGTCAATGTGTATGTTAAAGAATCTATACAAAAGCACCTAATCATTCGTTTTTAACCGACTGCAAAAATAAGAGGTTCTAAGTTTCACTTGTATGTATGTTTGTGCGCGATTTTCTTACGATTAGTTGAACCGATTTTAGTACGGTTTTCAGAAAAGTTTCTTACTATTAGAAGAAAGGTTTAGTATATTAATTAACTGACTTCAAACAAGAGAGGGGTCTATAGTCAGTATTTTTAAACGCAGTTTATAACAGAATAATTATTCTTTTGATATTGAGTTTAAAATTTTCTTGTATATTATTTATGCAACTTAATATTAATATATTGAATATATTTATTGAAGATATTGAATATATTAATATTAAATTATTTAAGTTTGTTTCTAACAATTGACACTGGTATTAATTAACACATACGTTAGCATACTGACTTTGCAATACATACTGTATATTAATATGAATTTACAATAATGTTATATACATATTTTCATAATTGCATCTAACATAGGTACGTCATTAGATAAAACAAACCATATTGTATTAGAAATTCAACTTTATCTCTAACACCAAAAAGACAAATTTTCCCTGCATACTGTAAACAATTCAGATCTTTCCAATTGCATTTGTTATTCTGAAATCAACTCTAAACCTAAGACGGTATAGTTGATATTGATTTGAAAAGGTATTGTATATAAAGAGATGTATTATCGTAAATAGAAAATTAAAGGAATTCTATTCCATTATGTACCTGTGTATCATTAAATATTGAATAGTGAATATTTACATTATACATTTGCGGCTAATAAAGATGAATAACACGATTTCTGAGAGGGAGTGTCAGACTCTTATTGAATAAAAACCACACCGTTCCTATTACTTCTGCTGTTTGAGCAGGAGCCCCGGCAACCGGTTAAGTCCTCCGCTGTTCCGTATCGGGCATCAGCCCTACTGGCCCCATCTGTGGTGGGATTGATTACGGTGGCCGGAGGTAATTGAAATGAATTTGTATTTTCCTCCAGTATGTTTACAATAGTCATATCGTTTATATTTTACATATCAATGCACCCTAGTTTTTAGTCAAATTTCCGTGGTGCTTGGCGAATGGGGTTCACCCAGTTGTACAGTCTCTTTTTTGTGCCTTTAGGCGTAATTCATTCCGTCTCCTGCAGTAATTCACCGAGGGAAGTGAAAACTATCGTTTTTTTTCTCCTCTTATAATATCTTCTGCATCACTTCGTTGCGGGAACCAAGAGAGTTTCTCATGTCCCTGGGACGCGCCGGACTTCAGTGTTCCGGTGTTTTCATGGTTGTATCTACTGTAGGCCCTGGCTTACAGGAGTTGCAACGGTTTTGAAAAGTTGTGGCATTCTTATCCCATTTAAAAAATATCAATGCCATAATGGTATAATATTTCAAGGGAAATTACTGCAATCATACTAGTTATGTAGTTTCATGTAACCGATTATATTACCAGGAAATGTGTTATGTAACAAAACATAGAGCTATCATTATAATTGGACCATTTTAAATACATTATGAATGTATTATTCTAAACTAAAATATCTACATCCTTCTTTATAATGTACTTGATAAAAAAAATTCGGTTTCGTCTGTGGCTCTACTTATTTCACTTTCAAGTTTTAATCGACTTAATTAATAATATTGTTAGCAATCGTTGAAGCTACAACGTCAAATTTTGTCTGTAATACTTTCTTTCACTTGCGAGTCGGCTCAACACAAGTACCTGTTGTGTACCCGAGCGTACGGCGCGTCGCGTTCCGCGCGCGCCTCAAAGAGCCATCAGACCACCACACATAGGGCCCAATAGGGCCGATGCCGATTCGGAGTCGCGGAGAACCTAACGGGTAACCGGGGCTCCGGCTCGACGTGCAGGAGAATGAACAGGGTGGTTTTTAGTCAGTAAGAGTCTGACACTCCTTTCCGCCTCACCCAGGCGGGAGCAGTCATTCGATGATTTTCCCCCCTTAAAAAAATGCCTTATAATAAAAACGCCTTAATTCCCTTTGTACTTTGTACAACATACACACAATAAACGTCAGCTGCTAGTCAGTTGATAAATTATAATGAAGCATTCAAATTTCACGTGAATATAATTAAACTACATAGGCAACTAAATCAAAATGTTGCTCAATTATTATTGCTATATTATTATCGTAATTACAATACCAATTCTATATCACAAATATACAAAGAGATTAATTGATTGACTGTTTGTTTATGTCGAATAGGCTCCAAAACTACTGGATCGTTTATCAAATTTCTTGAATCAGTTGATAACTCACTTTTTAAGGAGGAACATAGGCTACTTTTTAAACACAATGTTCTTTTAATCGTTTGCACGGTTGACACAGAGGCTTGGCAACCGGCTGCTATGGAACGTGTCGCAGGTTCCATTCTCGCAGGGAAGAATACATTGTGTGATCCACAAATTGCTGTTCCTTGGCTGGGTGTCATGTGTATTTTTTTTAAGGGACAAGCCCGCCACAACCTCCCAAAACCGCTGCAACTACTGTAAGCCAGCATCTACAGTAGATACAACCATGAAAACACCGGAACATTGAAGTCCGTGTGTCATGTGTAGTAAGCTTATGTTTGTAAATGCACACAGGACATAGGAAAAAATTCTAGAATAGGATAACGTATAAAAAAATTCCGCGCGACCGACCCAGTAGTCGAAAAGTTAGTATGTATACTTGTATAGTTTAAAAATAGATATTATATTATTATCAGAATGAGGTATACATGTGCAGACTTTGTACTTCGCATTGTGATATTTTACAAAACAAACAAATTAATTTTATAGATAAAATGTAGCTAATTAACTTTAATTGGGATTAACTGATGTATGCGTGACTACTGAGCACTACCCAGTGCTGGTACAGCACAGTTACTGTAGATAATTATATTACGACTTTATCTATCTTACTGCGACATAACATATAAAGCTAGTTATTCTCGCATGGTTTCACCCACTCTGCTCCGTTACTATTGATCAAAGCGTAAAGTTTTAGTCATAGCCTATCTCGATAAACGGACCATCCAATACAAAAACATAATTCAATTCGAACCAGCAGTTTCGGAGATTAGCGCATTCAAACAAACTAACTCGTCAGCTATAAATAAAAAATATATATCTATATCTATACCAATATTTGTTCACAAGACATATTTAATTGGTTGTTACTCTTAAAGTTGTTTCACGAGGTACCTCGACTAATTTCAAGTCACGCTAGGGACTCATAGTCAAGTGAAAAAGTGAATTTATTTCTGCAAATAGGCTACAAGGCAGCACTTTTACACGTCAATTTTATCAAGCGAACGATGAGGTCGACATTTCCTAACTGACTACTTTGAGGAGAAGAGTAGATAGTCATCACTCAACTAACTGTCCTTGGTCTATTGTCTCCGAGAGGCTCACAATAGTACGATTACATAATAAAATTAACTCTGTACGACATATCTATCTGTCTGTAATACATGATATTATTAGTAAAATGCAATCAAGTAGTCAAAATGTGTACAAATTACCAATAAGAAATATCTTGATTTCAGCGCGCGATTTCCAAGACGATGGTGACGAGGATCCTGATCTCCTAGTGCCAGCGATACCAGAAGACACGCCTCAGATCCCCTACAGTCCTCCACAAAGGTCTGATGATGAGATCCTTCAGAGGTCACGGGAGTACTACGAGCTGATGGCTGAGAGAAGAACCGTAAGGTCTTTCAGTCCAGAACCAATACCACAGGAGGTGCTAGATAATCTCATTAAAACCGCTGGTGAGTTCTTCTTTAATCTAAAGAATATAATGATAAATATAATCTATTTATATAAATAACAATGAATTTCCGTTCGTTAGTATCGCTAAAACTTGAAAACGGTTGAACTGATTTGCCAATTTTTGCCTAAAAATATTCGTTAAAGTCCAGGGGGAGGTTCAAGGGCTCATACACAAAACTGCGATGCGAATTCGCGACGCAAAAAGGCAATGCCGATGCAAATTGCTGCGATGCAATTTTGATTTTTAAGGGAGACGCCTTGTCGCACGAAATCGCATCGCAGCAATTCGTATCGTAATTTTTTGCATTGCGAATTCGCATCGCATCGCAGTTTTGTGTATGAGCTCTAAAAGGTAAGAAAAATATTTTTAGGCAGTACGAAGTTTGCAGGGTTAGCTTTATATATACATGCATAAAAATACTACATGACAGACTGACAGACAACGTACAGTTACAATTTAACAGAACGCAAAAACTTGTACTTGTACAATCACAAAAGAAGATCTCTTGAAATTCCTAAGCGAACGGATATATCCGAAATCATGTTTTGACACGTTCGCACACTGGAACTACTCAAGGAATTTTGATAAAATTTTGTACACAGACTTTGTATCCCGATTAAATGCCCCCATGCCATTGCAAAGCCGTGGGTAAAAACTAGTATAAAATAAAACTAACGCTAAATACAAAATTTATTTTGAAAAATATGCATAAAATAAAATCAAAAACGTCATTTTCATCAAAAACCTAATACCACACGCTGTGTGTAGTGAAATACATACACAGTTCTTTATCTCTCACATCTTCCCAAAACCCTGCAGCAGTTCTATCAAAATCCTCTACTTTATTCGCCACCATCACGTAACTTCTAGGAAACATTCCTTTTCTTACAGACCGTATGAACTTTTTCACTTCTTTAACTTTAAGTTCCTCTTGACACCCATCATCACCATTTGTGCGGCCACATTTATCGATATGAATCACTCTAGTACCAGGAATAGCTATCATGTATACATTGCCATCCCACTTTTTAAAGCCAACATGTCTGAGCGAACTGTCCCAGTTATAGTCATTGTGGTTACAAAACTCCTCGCTGTTGGACTTCAAGGAATTCCAAGTCTGTCTATCAAATGCAATACCCGATCTGTATGATCTGCCGGTCCAAATTTCTACTGATACCAAAGTCTTCTTCGTGTAGCTTGATAAGTCAAGGTCATACGCTCCTAAATTTATCACTTCGCAGAACGAAAAATGCGAAAGTCTTACCTTTTTCAACAATTTAAAGACGTAGAAAATATCTGGAGTAACAAAGTCGCCATCTTCCAGAAATAGAACAGTGAACTGCTTAATAGACCTCGTAACGTTCAAGTTATCGAACACTTGGTTGACAGTCCACCACCAGTGTTGTTTCGATTGAGCCGCTTCAGGGTCTCTAGCTTTTGACTTTTTGCAAACGTAACCCTCGGAGCAGTGTTGACCATCTGTCCCAGGATATACATTGGGATGCAACTGTATGGAGTATGGAAAGAAAATTTGTATGTATTTAGCAAATTTAATATCACGTATGAGGGCGTTTATGCTCTCACTGAAGTAATCGTGCGAGAATATTATGAAAGTATCTTTGATCCCGATTGCGGTCTTCAGGGACAGTAAAAGCTGACTGAAATAGTAAGTATCCGAATGGACGAGTACGACTATAATATGTGAATCTAAATTACTTTTAAAGTGTCCTAGGCGTGTGTTGTGTACAGTCTGCGCCAAGTTTATGTCTTTAATTTGAGATTTTATTTTGAGTATCTGTTGCATGGTTTGCATCTTATCTTTGATTCTTGCTGCTACGTAGTCCGTATACGTGCTGTTGTCACTGACATCGTCTTGGTAGTTGTAAATAATATCTCTTGTCTGTTTTTTAATAAACGAAACCTGCAGGTACACTTTGAAGCATATGGTGGCCATAACAATGACGAGGAAAACGATACAAACTCGAACAAAACGTTGTGGTTTGAAAATCGCCATGATTTCTCCACAATCAAGAAAATGACTACCAAAAATTGAAATAACCATCACTTGAATAGTTAAATAAATAAACTCAGAAACTTTATGTAAACACTCCAAATAGAAGACATTAAAAAACTCAGTTTTGACATAATTATTTGACAATACTTATTAAACGTACTCTTTAATTTGACATATGCAAACGTATCATAGAGTTTAGAGATCTTATGTCGGAATACTGAAACGCTACTCAAATTGTAAGTCGTGCTTAAGTATAGTTCTGTCACCACTAATTCTTTGTAAAATGACAGAGATGGCACGATATTTAAGCACGACTTAAAATTGAGTAACGTTTCAGTATTCCGGCATTATTCTCGTAGAAACTTAACCATTGCCTTTGTGCAATCCAAAAAGATATAATTAATGATGGTCTCTTAAATTCCAAAGAATCCCTAATATTTCACTTGTGTTTTGTTACTAAAAAAGTAAAATAAATGAACGAAATAATTATATTTGATTCATTTATTTTACTTTTAAAACTAACAGCCCGTCCCGGTTTCGCACATGGTGGAAAAAATATCCCTTACTTGCTTCTGTTAGCGGCTTTGCCCGCCTTCTAATGGGTTAAAAAATGGTCCATGTACTCGTATTATTCCAGATCCTACCTCTGTTCCAATACCGATCCCTTCACCCGTTTTAACCTGATTGAGACTCACAAATTGAGTCACTAACTTTCGCATTATAATATTGGTTGATAAGATTGTAAGATTGCAGTCGAGTCGTAGCTTTATTTTGTTGATTATAGTAATTTATTGATTTATATTTACTTAATGTTTAGTACGTTATGTACTTTATAAGCAAGCTAGTTTTAGAAAGTGGATATCGCAGTTATATTTCCAGATTTCTTAACAAACTGGATTTATCAGGATTTCCTGTAGAAATATACGAGTGAAACTGGAAAATCCTGCCAGTTTTATTTATGTATACGTATATTGTGTAGTAACTAGTTACTGTCATTAATCTATGGATTAAGTGGGAAATACTTGCCGCTTGCTTTAAAAAACTTTACTACTACATAATAGATAGAGATTCTATCTACTTTAGTTGACAAGTGCTGTTGGTATCCCTGGTGGTAGACTGTAACCAGATGTTCGACAACTTGCTTCACATTCTTCAGCAGCAGCAGCAGCAAAATAAAAATCATTACTTAAATTTTTATCAACGCTGTATTAGAACCAAACACTTTGGTTGGCAAAATGCAAACAGAGCTCGTGGTCCCTGACGTCGCTCCAATAACCTGTTCCTGTACTGTTGTAGTCTTTCCCAAGAATCACCTCAACTTTAATTCTTCCAGGGAGCAATTTTTCGGAAACTAATTGAATAAACTTTCTGACTTCCTTCACTTTGTGCTGCAATTTACAACCAATTTCGTTCTTATCACAATCCTTTACAGTAAACACTCTAGGACCGTCTGAAGCGATTAAATAAATATTTCCAGCCCATTTTTCAGCTCCAATACGTTTTAACGAACGATCCCAATTTGTATCATTATATAAACAAAATATTTCTTTCCAAGTCTTGATATTGTTCCAAGCCTTCCTGTCGAAGGCTATGGCTGTTTTTGGTATTTTGTCCGTCCACATTTCTACTGTTATAAGGCTCTTTGTCCTATTATACTGCGATACTTCAGGATTGCGTGCTGCTAGACTTATCATCTCACAAAAAGAACAGCGTCTCTTCTGTAATAGTATCAGTAACTTATACGTAATTAAAACGTCAGGAGTTACATAATTATTACCTTCTAAAAATAGTATAGGTCCTGTGAAATTTTCCAACACAGCTAGATGATCGAAGATTTGATTGGCTTGCCACCACCAATGGTGTTTTGATTGAGCTGCCTCGGGATTTCTAAACATTGACTCTACGCAGTGTAGTCCCTTGATGCAAGACTTAGGTTCAGGGCCAGGAAACACATTTGCATGCAGTTGTATTGAATATGGATAGAAGATTTGCATGTACTTTGCAAAGTTGATTTCACTGATCAATTTATTGATTTCATTACTGTAGTAGTCATGGGAGAAGATTAGGAAGGCAGAATTGATTAAAAGAGTGTATCTTAGAGAATTAATCAGTTTCTTTAAAAGGTAGATATTGGAATGGCATTGTATGACGATGACGGATGTACCTTCTTTAATGGGTCCAAAGTGCTCGTTATGGATAGTTCGCATTATGTTTAAACACTTTATTCTTGCCCTAACTTTGTTCATGTTGAGGTAAGTTCGTTTACTTCCGCTTAATTTTAATTCATCTACCTCCTTGCAGTCCATGTTGAGAAGGTTATCAATGAAGTCCTGGCGATCCTTTTTGATATACACAACTTGATGATAGGCCCCATAAATTACCATCATTGTAATAGTAAATAGGATAATTGAAATAGTAAATAGGAAAATTGTAATATAACCACGTGTTGCCAATAGCATGATTATATATTAACTGTAACTAAGAATTTAAGTGATTTTATTGAAAAAAACCATAGAGAAAAACACATTGTTACCACAGAATAAACAGATACAAAAATTCAACGATAATGACATTTCGCGATTTTTTTGCAAATCTTACAATAGTGACGTGACTATTATCGAATTTTGACGTGAAATTACCGGTTATTCGTATTATCGGTTTTTATGTTTTTACAATACCCCAAGTAAATTGATAGGTACCTACTCCTGTACTCTCAAAAATGTATCAGTAGAATTTTTTGAGACACTGATGTTTGCGATGCGAATGCTTGAAATTCATATTAGTACATATCCTGTAAGCCTATGACAGAAGCCAACCAAAGAACATACCTACTTGTGAAAAGATTCAAGTACAAGTACTTACCCTCTTTAGCTCATTTTAACAAACTCCTCCTATAATTCCAGGAACATCACCATCAGGTGCTCACACAGAACCTTGGACATTCATCGTGGTCCAGGATCCAGAAATGAAATCTGCTATACGGGAGATAGTAGAAGAAGAAGAAGAATTGAATTACAACCAGAGAATGTCGCGGCAGTGGGTGACAGACCTGAAGCCGTTTGCTACGAAGCCTGTGAAGCCATACTTATCTGATGCTCCAGCATTGGTGCTGGTCTTCCGACAGACGCACTCTTGGAGAGAAGATGGAAAGAAGAGGATGCACTACTATAGTGAAATCAGTACGGCGATAGCTGCTGGAATATTACTTGCTGCTATCCAGGTGAGGACTTGCAAATTATACAGCAGATACTTAGGTATTTCTTCCATTGGCTTCGTTGACTCAATGATCCACAGAGGCCCCTGATAGGACATTTTGCTTCATTTCGTAGTTCTTAGCATCTTAATCATTTTTATTGTTATTGGTGGTGGTATAGTGACTCTAAACACATTTACATCTTCTTAAGTCTTCTTATACTTAACTACGTATCGCTCTTGAATATCGAAAAAGAAACTTTCTTTGAACAAGTAATCGAAATTGAGCCCTTTAGCAGGATCACACATACGATTATTTGACCCACGAACAAGTACTTTAACCCATCTGTAAAAGCCAATAAGTTTCACCTTCATGTGCCCTTCTCCCAAGCCGCCAGAAACTATCTATTTCTAACACCATAATATTTTATTTCTGTGAAATCACTTCATAAAATGTGTTGTGTGTTTTCTTTGGGCTTATTCATTGTAAACATGAAATAAACTATTCATAGATCAAAGCGTTTATTTCTGCTTCTTCATTATCTACTGTTCGCTACTTTGACCTTGAGCAGTAACGTAAGCAAAATCAAAAACAATAAAAGTTCTAAGCCCGTTTTCACCAATTTTATGAAGACTTATATGCTAAACTTTGACTTTGTCATTTTTATTTTCATCAACCTTTATGTGACACCTAACAGTAAGAGTAAGGGTTAGTTTAAGTGCTAAGTCACGTTCAGTAACTTTTAGCTAAGTGACTGTTTAGGGGTGTTTAACGGCCATTAATGTCCTAGCTTCTTCCCAAAATCAAGTTAAGATACAATATAGATATAGATTTCACGATTAAGAAAAAAAAACGTTAAGATACTTGGAGTACTGAACCTTATAATTTGCTATTATTATTTCATTTCATTCTTAGTGGGTTTTGGATGCTCCATGGTCGCTCCACGTAATTAGAAATACTGAAATTCAGATAAATCATCACCAAAGACTTTTGACCCCAAAATCAATTTAGGAAAAGGGCAAGAGAAAGATTATTATGTCACGTAGGGAGGCTGACCACCGCCCTTTTTTATGGGATAAACGAGCAGACGGATCACCTGATGATAAGCAATCGGTGTCGCCCATGGACACCTGGAACACCAGAGGCGTTACAAGTGCGTTACCAGCCTTTTGTGATTAGGAGTTTGAGGGTTGTTGGGGATTCAGGGATTGAGACTCCGGACCTCACTCACCCGACGAAACAAACGCAATCGTTGTTTCACGGCGGTTTTCTGTAGGGCCGTGGTATAACTCCGAAATATGGCTCTTCAACACTTATACCCTCTCTCTCAGATTTTTAAGGCTAAGGCTAGGCTAACTATAACAAGGCGCAGGGAACTCTGATTATGAATAGCGGATAGCCACCCCATCGTTGCATAAACCTTGACAAAGGTGAATCCTGGTTGCAATCAATGTGTGACTAAAGAATATCGACCTAGAAAAACATTTGATATCCGCTGACTTGAAACATTTATATGGCCTCGTTTTGTTGAATAAGGTTAAAGCGTAGAAAACGTTTTGCGCAGCGCCATATTAAATTGCCATGATAAATAAGAATTTCTTCTACAGCTGTTACAATAAAGGTCACATTCCAATGTCAAGTGATAAGTTTGTTGAGTCTAAAATACTCTTGTACTATAATTTGTGTTGAGGTGATAAGGTTGCAGTTTGCTTGTGTAGATTTTCCAATGAAAGACGTGCGGTTATTTCGAAATTATATTTGACACTAAAGTAAATATGTTGAAGGTAGAATGACATGAATGGACTACAGATTAATAAATATACAAAATTATGTGATACAAACTTTTTGAACGAACATACCGCCCACCAAAAGGGCTTTAAGACCCTTTTTTAAAAATACTAAAATAACATAACTTACACAATTAACACAAACATAACCATTGAATTAGAGAATTCTAGTAACAAACTTCTAATGTAACATAGCGGCAGGACGATATGACTTAAATTATGTTACATGAACTAACAAACAAATATTATTTATTTATTGGTCTTTAGTATAAATTGGTAAGTAACATAAGTTTGAAATTGATCTTCGAGTTACTTTGCCATTGTATCGTACAGTATAAACTCGTGTTATTCCATCCTGTCCAGGGTGTTTTTCCATTATACGTGCCAATGCCCACTTGCTAGGAGGCATGTTTTCGTTTTTTAATAAAACAATGTCACCAACTTCAAATTCTAGTGTTCTCTTCAGCCACTTAGGTCTTTGGTTCAGTCGTGATAGGTATTCAGTTTGCCAACGTTTCCAAAATCCCTGAACCAATCGTTGGTATGTTGCCATCTTGATATCAAATTAATACTAGCAGAGGTATAGTCACGGTCAGGTACAGTAATAAGAGGTTCTCCGACGAGGAAATGACCGGGTGTAAGGACTTGTATGTCATCCATGACGTCAACATCTGTAGATATAGGTGTCAGAGGCCGGGAGTTGAGACAAGCTTCGATCTGTGTGAGTACTGTGGTGAATTCTTCAAATGTCAAGTTCTTAGTTAGTACCTTTCTTAAGTGCTGTTTAACAGACTTAACTCCAGCTTCCCAAAGCCCTCCAAAGTTAGGACTATATGGCGGTGTGAATTGCCACTGTGTTCCATCGTTAGCCAGTTGATCAACTAAAAGGCCGGGTACTTCATGACCTGCTTCTTGCCACATCGCATGCAATTCCTTGTTGGATGCCACGAAGTTGGTACCGTTGTCACTCCAGATTTCAGTACATCTTCCTCTTCTGGCTACAAAGCGTTTGAATGCTGCGATGAATGCATCGGAAGTCAAATCACTGACTAGTTCTAGATGTATAGCCTTTACAGCCATGCAGACAAAAATGCAAATATATGCTTTGTTGGTTTTCGCTCCTCTTCCTTTAGAGTTTAATACATAAACAGGGCCAGCAAAATCCACTCCACTTCGAGCGAAAGGACGCGCTGGTGTCACGCGAGGTTCAGGTAAGTCGCCCATCAACTGGTGTCTACTAGCAGCTCGTTGGCGCGCACAGGTAAGACAACTATGTATATATTTCTTCACCAGACTCTTGCAGCCAACAATCCAGTATTTACTCATCAGGTAAGTAATCATCATATTTATACCACCATGCATTGTTTTCAGGTGTGCATCCGCCACAACCAATGATACGAAACTGTTTCTTTTGCCTAGTATCACAGGATATTTTAGATTCTCGTTGGCGTCTGCGTTTCTTAATCTTCCGCCCACCCTGAGGATATCTTGTTTATCCAAAAATGGGTTTAGTGTCTTCACAAGGCTAGTGCTTTTTACATTCTTATTTTCTTTTAACCTTCTTATTTCATCATGAAATTCTTCTTCTTGAACTTTCTTCACGCAAATTTCGGTAGCTTTTTGTAGTTCTTCAGTTGTCATTTCATGGCCCAGTCTTTTTGAATCTCTTCATATTTAAAAATCTTCTACAATGAACTATTACTCGTAATAGCTCGGTAAGTGACTCGTATTCTTCAAATTTAATATACTTTTCCTCTACGGTTGCGTTTACGTAGGACTGTATGGTTTTCTTTCTTTCTAATTCTATGTTTGCTATCGTAGGTCTTGTAAATTCAATAGGTTCATTCTTAAGCCAAGTAGGTCCATCCCACCATAATGTCTTCTCTTGTAGTTCTGATATTGATGATCCCCGTGAAGCAATATCTGCTGGATTGTGCGCTGATTGCACATGGTACCAATGAGTACTGCTTGTTCGTTCTAGTATTTCCACCACACGGTTAGCAACAAATGGTTTCCATCGGTTTGGTTCTCCACGGAGCCACGCTAGGACTATAGTAGAGTCAGTCCATGCAAATACGTTATCTGAAGGAATTCTCATAGCTTGGCTCACTTGGACTAATAATTTTGATAATAATGTTGCTCCACATAGCTCTAAGCGTGTTAGTGAAACTGTCTTGATTGGAGCTACTTTTGTTCTTGATGCGACAAGATTTATCTTTATCTCATCATCCTCAGTTTGTACTCGACAGTATACCACAGCTGCATATGCTCTTTCAGACGCATCACAGAATCCATGCAGCGTAATTCGATCTCTTTTAGTGCTGAGAGTATTCACCCAACGTCTTAAACTTATTTCCTTAACATTTTCTAAATCTCTTCTAATGAACTTCCATTCTTGCTTCAGTTTATCACTGATTTCTTGATCCCATCCAACTCCTTCAAGCCATAGTTTTTGTACTAAGATTTTTGCTGTTACGATGACTGGAGCTATCCACCCCAGTGGATCAAACAACTTCTGTAAATCAGATAGAATGGTTCTCTTTGTAATGTTTGATGATATAGGTTCCAGTTGTAATTGGTAATGAAATTCGTCTTCTCTAAGGTTCCATGCAATACCAAGAGCTTTGATGGTACCGTCTAGCTTAAGGTCTAGATTAGCCTTTGTTGTGACTTTGTTAGCGTCTATGGACTTGAGAAACTTCGCGTCGTTGGAAGCCCATTTTTGTAATTGGAACCCTCCTTTTTCCAAAATTGTTGTAATTTGCTTACTAACATGAATTGCTTGTTCTGTTGTGTCGCAGCCCGACATCAAATCGTCGACGTAGAAGTCTTCATGAATAATCTTGGCAGCTTCAGGATAGTGTTCACCTTCTTCTTCTGCGAGTTTCATCAAAGTTTTAATAGCTAGGTAAGGTGCAGATGCTGTACCGAACGTGACCGTTTTTAATCTGTAATCTTTGATTTCAGGTAGCTGGCAATTTGCTCCATTGTGGTTATTAACTTTACCTCTCCACAACACTCTGTGGTAATCTGTGTCATTTCTGTCCAGAAGCACCATCCTGTACATTTTGGTGATGTCACTTACAAAACAGATTTTATGCATGCGCCACCTCATGATCACACTTCGCATGTCTTCTTGCAGTACTGGACCAACCATGAGCTCATCATTCAATGATACGCCGTTGTTGCCTTTACACGATGCATCAAAAACAACTCTGAGTTTTGTTGTTTCTTTGTCTG